CATTTGTCAGTGTCGGTGTGTTTTTCTCTCTCTCTCTCTCTCTCTCTCTCTCTCTCTCTCTCTCTCTCTCTCTCTCTCATATTAAGGTTTGCATTTTATATTGCATTCACTTAATGTTTAATTTTTTTAAAAAGGATTTTAGGGCTTTGATTTTCTGGGTAAGAGTACTCTTTCTCAGTAGTAGTTGTGTTTGCAAAACTATAAATTGGCTTCAATTGTTTTGTGTGTTCATTTTTCTAGTTTCTAGTAATTTGTTGAAGCATAGTAACTCTATATAAAGGTTGCTACGGTTTAAATATTTTTTCATTTTTTTCCAATATTTTATTTTATTTTATTATTATTATTATTTTGCTATTGTTTGTGGTAATTTGTTGAATTGTAGATTCACAGGTGTTGCTTTTTCCTAGTTAATCTGCATCATAGATCCCTCAAGATTTATAGCTGCTGCTTTGCTTATTCTATTTGTTGCTTGTATTTTCTTAAAATTTCAGGAACCTTTATTTGTTTGCTTTGACCCTCATTGTAATCCTTCTTTGCCCATCTAGTGGTGTGAGTGTAGGGCATCATTTTAGTGATTTAATAGGGCTTGAAAAATAAATATTAAGTATCATTAGAAGTAGAACGCAAAAGAGAAAATTGAAGATCTTAACTGTGAATATGAGATGATTTGGGATGCATAAGGATCAATGCATCCTGTAGCATGTATCAATTATGTATCTTAATATGTTGAAAATAGTGATTGGTAGGTATCTGTTCAATATCTAAATGTGTTGGAGATAGTGTTAGTAGGTATCAATTCTATATCTTAATGTGTTGAAAATAGTGTTGGTAGGTATCAGTTCTGTATCTTAATGTGTTAAAAATAGTGTTTGTAAGTGAAAATTATCTATCTTAATGTGTTGAAAATAGTGTATCAGCTTGTATCTTAATGTGTTGAAAATAATGTATCAGTTATGTATCTTAATGTGTTGAAAATAATGTTAGTAGGTATCAATTCTATATCTTAAGGTGTTGAAAATAGTGTTTGCAGGTATTAATTCTGTATCTTAATGTGTTGAAAATGTGATGATAATATTGTGAGTAGTTATCACTTTTATGTCTTGTTGTGTTCATAATATTGTGAGCAGGTATCACTTCTCTTTCTAATCAAAAGGTTTCTGTTGCAGGTATAAAATGGAATTTGGGTTTGACCTTTGTTTCCCGGAGTCAGAGGTCTATTTTGCACGAATGAATAATATATGTCTAGCGAGTACAGTCCTGTGTAATTTTGAGGGGCATTTCAGTGACTTATGAAAAGATTTAGAGAGAGCTGTTTTGGGCGCCTGGTGGGACTATATAAAATTGCATTTAGTGGTCAAATTGGGCATGCTCTGGCACTCATGGAGTTAGAGGACTTGGTGTGAAGGGCATACTGGGCCTTAGTTATGCAATAAGGTCCAGCGTGGCTCATTTCACTATAAAGGACTTTTGTTTGATAAGTGGTCTGAAATGTGAGAATGTGCATTTTACCAACAGGAGTCACGTTACTTGCCATGACTTAGAAAATGCATTCCTAAAGTCTGAAAAAGTAAGCAAGGACTTGTTCAAATTGAGACTCCTGTATTTTGTGGAGTTTGTAATAAACGAGCATTACTTACATTTGGTTCATAAAATGGATGAATTCAACAAATATCCGCAGGGCTCTATATCGTTTGAGTACCTGCAAGATTTTCTATTGTTTGCTCTTGAGAAGAAAGAGATTGATGAAAACAATGATGGGAAGGGGAAATGATAGAGAAAGGGAAAAAAGGCAGTGCAGAGTTCAGTGAAAAAAGAGAAGAAAAACATGGC